GGACCAAATAAACGTAATCGAGTCAAGAAATGCTCCAGCTCTTAAGATTATTTGGGATAAATAAGGTTTTTTGGGTAAAAATGAATAAATTGAAGATGTTGATGATTGGTTAAAAGAGGAATGTGGCTTATTGAAAATTGCTTGAAATTCATGCCCTTCACTTCTTCCTACCCTCGCACTTTTTAACGCTTTCCCGTGTATTGGTACTACAATACAACTAGTATCTAAGAATGTTTGTAAATTATCCAAAGTGTTTTCTATTTGGTTTTTACCTGGATTAACATGATAATTCAGTAATAAGCATATTAATATAGTTTTAAACTTATAGTGCAAACCACCTAGTTCTAACCGATTATTACTTTTCATTCAAAATAATAATAATAATAATAATTATATATATATAATTTTTTTAAATAGTAAATCTAATCAAGCTAAACACACTCATAGTCTTAAATTTTTTCTAAAGTTATTTTTTTAACAAATTATAAAGATTTAAAAGTAATGTAATTTTATAGTAAATCTTCAAATTTGACCACTTTATATATTAAAAATTTTAGCAAAATTTCAAATTTGATCACTAAAATTTTATTGGTTGGGACTAGATAGATTGCACTGTATAACAATAAAAATTAAGAAATTAATTACCTATTACATGTAATCTAATTTCTTCACCATCCTTCCAATCAATGCAGTTTTTAATATCTTGTAAACTCAACTCAACGTCATCTCCATGAACTCTTCCATCAATAAATTCCAAATGGTATCTATAAGTTCCATTTACATGAATTTCCACCAAAGAAATTCCAGAGTAACAGCATATAAGAAAAGAATTATCTTCTAAAGGCCAAAAATCTGGGCTCACGTCTTTGTGAGAAATTGATCTTGGAGGGTCATAAGGAATACGGAAACAAGGATGATAACGGAATCTAATTGTATCACATCTGTGCCAATGAGCTCCACTTTTACCAGAAATAAACATACACGATAAAAAAAAAAAAAAAAAAAAAAAAAAAAGAAAAAAAAAAACAATTACTAATACATTCTGATTCGAAGCATGTTATACTCAATCTAGCCTTACGTATCATGTAATTCTGCAAGCATGAGATATTGATAATTTACTGATAGTACATACCTTTCGACTACTGGTGTTATTGGATCAGTGTTGTTTGGTTCTTTAACAGTAAATGTACGATTAAGAAAGTTGTATCCTCGCATCATAATGCCTATTTTTAAAGGCATACATTTGAGTTTGTGTGAATATAAATAGTTGGCATATGCATTTATATTATTTTATTAAATAAATTCCAATATTTTACCTGAAGCTGAATGTGGACAAGTCAATGCATGTCCGACTTCATGTAACTTGAATGATATTAAAATTAATTAAATTTAATAAAACTTTATTAGGCAAAAAGAAAATAGTTAACATCTCACCATTGCACCAATTCCAATATTACAACACCTCCACCAAGTACCGGATTCATTAGCATCATTCGCCAAAATTTTTTCATCAGTTTGAGTTTCATTTTGAAAACAATCTACAACTTCTTCCAAAAATTTTGGCCAAGCATGTGTCGTATGACTACCAAAAATTCCAAGTTGAATATGCCCGGAACCACCGCCCAAAGCAGCGTGCCCTCGGATCAGTTTCATTTTAGGATCCCAATGTGAATCAAGTATTAATCCTGCTACGTAACATTTCTTATCAAAAGGTGCTCCATATTCTTGTAAAGCATCCAGGAAAATGGAATATAAATCTTTTTTGGTGGTAGGTGGTGTTCCAGGTGGTGGTTTATATTGTTGAGCACGTTCTGGATCTAACAATTCTTTTAATGTAAATTTTGTACGAATTATGTGAATCTTTGCTGTTTGACGTAGACTTGAATCTTGGTTGGAGAGTGTATCTGAAGAAATAAAAAAAGATATTTAACAAATAAGTAATAAAGATAAAATTATATGTCAAGATCTTTCAATATTTACCTTGTTGCCATTCTTCTTCTAATCGGAAAACTCTAAATATTTTTAATGATTTTTAAACATTAAATTATATGCATGATAATATATGATACTATACTAAATCTTTACCTCCTTTCAAATCCGTTACGATGCATTTGTTCAGCAGTAAATGCCTGCCATAAATAAGCAGCACACCGAAATTTTGCCTTGACAGCGTTCAGGTTATTATCTTCGGATTTAACTTTCTCTGGTGGGGCATCAATAACACATTTCGAATCCTTTGCAACAAGTATAGCCAAATGCAACGGAGGATTTTGCAACATTTGTATGTAATTAACAGTAATGACAGTTGACAATGGACTCATTCCTGGTGAAAATGAATCAGGATCGAAGGTGAACCGGATGTTATTTGGACCTTTATGATATTTAATAAAGGATTATTAAGGTTTAAGTGAAAATTTTAATACTTGTTCAAATTTAAATGATAAAATATACCAGGATCAAGATGAACAAGGCACTTAAAATGTGAGTTGAAAATTGGCCAAGTAGTAGAAGGAAAATTATCAGCATGATGCTCAACGGTAATGTTCGAATGATATGCTAAATCTCTGGGGCCTGCACGTCCATATACTAACAATACTCGCTAAAATAAGCGTATAATTTTAATAATAATGATAAAGCCAAAAATATAAAAAATTTCATCAGGCATATTTTATTTTAATTTACTTGATATACGCATTCATCATTTTGAACATTAATTATAACCGGTGCAAAAGATGATATGTCATCTAAAATATCTAATTGTTCCTTTTTAATAATCATGATTACTCGCTAACTTTTATTGTCGACGTCTTGAAATTCAAAATTCAATAAAAGGAACTATCGCTATAAATTATGTCACAATATATAAAGTAATGTATACAATGAAACGTGTCATGAAAAAGGTAGGATTTTCGAACAAATCCTAACCATCCACGACAGATTTCCTTTTCCGGCGATCAAAGAATACAAATACTAGAGATGCTAGCCAATCAAATTACTTCGAAGGAACACCTGCTGTCAAAATTATGAATTTGTGATTGGCTCGAATTAATATTGATCCTCCCAAATCCCAAAATTGATCCCAAAATCCAAATTGATCCCAAATCCAAAATTGGTTCCAAATTAGAGTTGTTAGGCGAAACCATTTTTCGTGATGACGAAAGAAGAAACCTAAAGCCGGCGGAAGACGAAAGACGAAACCCCTGCGAAATGACGAAACCTCTACGAAAGACGAAACCTTCTGCGAAAGGCGAAACCTCTTGTAAAAGGCGAAACCCCCTGCGAAAGGCGAAACCTAAAAACAATAATGTGCGTAAGAAGAATAACTAAATTAAGGCAAAAGCAAGTGCACGCAAAACTTTATGTATTCATTAGATAGTGTTTATGCGAGTATTGTTAAATGAAACCAGGTTTTGGGCTTTTGATTTCGATATTTACTTCTAAAAATAAGCTTTGTAAGCAATGTAGTTTCTGCTACTAATGTTAAATTTATAAAATTGGGAACAAAATATCCATTTGAAGTACAATAAATAATAAGCTTTACAGCCCGAAGTTTGATTGTTTTTGGCAACTCCCATATAAAAGATATAGTGCTGTAAACATTAGGCTTTCAAATTTATGATTAACTTTACTTAGCCCCTAGAAAATTTTAGCAATATACGAGTGAAAACCTGTAAATCGATTCATGATTATTCGGACTTGACCCCTAGAAAATCTGATCCAAAACTAATTATCATTATGTGTTCGAATACTTATCAACTAAGAATTTCCAGTCACTTCGATATATGTATTATCAAATTATTAGCTGATACATATTTGATCACAAATAATATCAGATTTTCCAATGATCGTGAATCGATTCACTGACTATCACTTATATAAACATTATAAAGAAAAAATTGTTAGCATTAGTCTTTTAAATTTATTATTTGTCAGATTTAGCCACAATTTAGCTACAAAAAATTCTGTGGTATATGAATATAACTAGTGCTAAGAAAATTAAATAGCAAACATTATGTTTTTAAATTTATTATTTATTATTTGTTTGTTTATACACTTAGCCTTATTTATTTTAGAAGCGAGTTAAAATAAATAAGGCTAAGTGTATAAACAAACAAATAATAAATATTAAATATAAAAACATATTAAGT